GGCTTGCATCTGGGGATGGCCTGGGAGCAGCTGGGAGAGAAATGCTGTGGGGGAGAGAAATCTGGATGGGGCTGGAGCAGGGCAATGGGAGAGAGGGGGGAGGCCTGGGATGGGAGGTGGCATGGGGGAGCAGGAGAGTGAGGGAGGCTGGAGATAAGTATTTGCTTGGATGCAGACAGGGAGAGTGCAGGGAGAGATGAGAGAGGGGCTGCTGGCAGGAGAGCGGACTTGAATATAGAGGAGACTGCTCGCTTTATCGCCAGGCACAGAGCGAAGGGGGCCACAGGCTGCACACCTGGAGAGGGGAAGCCGCTGGGGCCCTCCCTGGGGCTGGGGATGGATGTTATAATGCTCTTTACATACCCTAGGAAGGAGAGGGATGGAGCTGTTCTGGGCTGCTGCTTGAAGGCGAAGCTGTAGCACAGACTGGGAGAGGTGTCTGCTTGGTTTTTCCAGGCCAGGCAGAGGTGTCCGAGAGTTGGGAACGCTTCGCAGGTGTTGTGGAGAAGAGGGTTAGCGTAAGGGGCTGGGATTCAGCTTCCATGCAGGGATCAGAGAAAATACTTTCTGCTTGTCCTAGGAGCCTTCAGCTCCGTGGGTCATTTGCACTTTGGTTATTTTTGGCTCTCTGTAATGCTGTCTTAACAGAATATATAACATAATCTTCCAGATCAGCTCTTAAAAGTGGAGGCTGTGATAGAGCCATAGAATCTTGCTGGGCTTTTCTCAGCTCCTTGTGGCTTCAGGTGCAGCAGAAATGGATTCCCAGGAGATCAAAGAGCTACAACAAGAAGTTATGGAGGAGCTAGGTATCTCCATGGAGGAGCTCCAGGACATCATTGACGAAGAGCTGGAGAAGTTTGAGTGTGTGAAGCAGAGGAAGCAGCAGCTGGAGGAGCTGGAGAAGTGCGTGAAGCAGAAGGAAGAGGAGGTGGCTCACGTCGACCGGCTCTTTGATGATGCTTCAAGGTGGGCGCACTTGGAATTGTGGCTGTGTGTCCAAGTCAGGCCTTGAAGGAGCAGAGGAGATCAGATGGCAGGGTCCAGTGTTTTGAGCACTGCCTGTTTCCCATCCGTGTGCACTGATGCTGCAGTTCTTCGTCAGCTCACTTGTATGAGGTTCTTGAGGAACAGTTAAAATTATTCCTCATCCTGTGGCTTCGAATTCTTCGCACAAATACTCTTTCCTCACCTACCAATGGTTGTATTTAATTAGCAGGTCTCCAGCAGCACCTGTTTGTTTCTGTGTTATTGTGGGATGTACAGCTGGGTTCACCTTGTCTTTTCCTGTCTCTGCTCCTCTTTTTTTTTTTTTCCCCAGAGCCATTGATAAATGTGAGATATTAGTAAAAGATCTGTACTCCAAGCTGGGCCTCCAGTATCGTGAGAGCAGTTCTGAGGACGAGGACTTGGCTGCTAAGGCCACAGAAGTGATCGAGATCCCAGATGAGGACGATGATGATGTCATGAGCATTGACTCGGGCTGGAAGCACAGTTCAGTATCCCGTTATGCTGCGTGGTGCTGAGGGGAGGGATGGACATACGAGCGTGTCCTGGAGGAGGAAGGGAATGAGTAGGGATCAGGGTGAAGATGTTGTAAAGTAGCCCATAAGCACTGTTGGTCCTTAAGCACAAGAGGATCAGAGAGGAAATGCCCTTGGCTTGTGCGAGGAACATCACCTCTTGCGTGGTCTGTCTGGGCCTGTAACTATTCCATGGCTCTTGAGTTAAGGTTTGTTCAGGTGCCGAGCTGGGACCTTTCCCTTTTTCTGTCTGCCTGATCGTTGTCCCGTCAAATGCTGCTTTTGCTCTGGGGAAGCTGCCTGTATGGCAGATCATGCACCTAGAAAGGATGGCTTAGTAAAAGTCTTAACTTGAGTGCATTTTCTGACAGGAATAGAGAAGTTTGACTTACCAGGAGGAGTGTTTCCTCCCCAAGAGATTTTAAACGACTTTTTTTTTTTTTTTCCTTTGTTAAACATAGGTGATACTAGTCCCAGAATTGCAAAGGATCAGACTCTGGTGAGTTGGAAAAAACCTGATTGTAGTGTACTTCTGCAGTGAGGTTTTACTGGAGCTCTTGGGGCATTGTGTTTGGTGCAAAAGAGGTTCTTGTATTTTCTCTATCTTTTCTTCCCTTCAGCTACGGGAAGCCATGGCTGCAATGAGAAAGTCTGCCCAAGATGTTCAGAAATTTATGGATGCTGTGAACAAGAAAACAAATGCCCAGGATACACAAAAAGGTCAGTGCACGAGAGCTTCCCAAGGCTGACAACCATGGGCTGACACCCTCGTGTGTCCTAACCCTGGTCCTCTCTGAACCTTAAGCTTGTTGGTTTTCTTTCTGAAAAAGAAAATAATGGGAAGCTTTCAGCTTTTCTGAGGAAAATTTAAAAAAAAGGAGAGGGGAACCTCTAGTTTTCTACTTGCCTGCTGGGAATACCCATTAGGTTACACTGATTCCCAATTCCTATTTTGTTTGTTTATACCCTTTCCAAAAGCAAATACATACTCAGTTTCCATAACATGAAAGCTTTTTAGTGCTGTTAAACCTTACCCCCGATTACTCTGTCCAGTAAAACTGAGGTGCTTAGGCTGACTGAGGTAAAGGAAAGCAAGAATGACAAACGTTCTTCGGATCACATACGTAAGAGCCAATTTTTGAGCCATTTCCAACCCACCTTCTGGTGGCTGTTCTCTGGGTAGATGGACAGACCCCTCAGCATACTCCTGGCACTCTCCAGTCCGTGGGCTCTGCTGCTGCTGGGAGCGACCTCAGCAACGACGGTGACCTGAAGGTTGGCATGAGGATCTTGGGCAAGAAGAGAACCAAGACATGGCACAAAGGGACACTGATAGCCATCCAGACGGTCGGTACGTCGCACGCTTGCTGTTTTGTCATGGTGCTTGTGGCTTTAATGAGACTTTTGGGTGACTAATGTTGATGAGATTTGCAGTGTATCCCCACAGTGTCACCTGAAAAGAGGATCCAGTGAAAAGCGCTGGGCACTTGCATGATGTGAAAGCAGCACATCTCCATAATAATTTTTACCTTCCAAACTAATTTCTGAAAGGCTTTCAAATCCATTTTGAACTTGGATCATAAAGTAGCGTACATGGTATTAGATTTTTTTGTGTGTGAAATCACTTGCTTTTTATTGATCTTGCCTGTTGAAATGTCTTTCAGGTGCTGGTAAGAAGTATAAAGTGAAATTTGACAATAAAGGGAAGAGTTTGCTCTCTGGCAATCACATTGCTTACGACTATCACCCCTCACCTGAGAAACACTATGTTGGGAGCAGGGTTGTGGCAAAATACAAAGATAGGAATCAGGTTTGGCTGTACGCTGGCATTGTGGCTGAAACCCCAAACGTAAAGAATAAAGACAGGTATTAATTCTCCTCCATAGTGATGTACTTCTACCTAAAACAAAAAAAATATATATACACGTACACACACACACATATATATATATATTTGCTATTGTGAGGGTTGAATTTTTTTCTCCCACTTCCAGGGACCTAGTTCTCAATGTTGTTTCTTAAGTTTTTCTTTTCTAAGAAAGCTCTGGGTGGAGCTTCTGTTCTATTACTCATATCCCTGAGTTAGAAATTGTATCTGGTAATTCATTCAAATTATCACACCAAATGTAAGTCTGCACTGCTCAAGGCATAAAACATGGCATTAGGAAATATGAGCCCCAGAAGTATTCAGTGCCAGCAACGTTGCCAAAGCACTTAAGGAAAAGAAACAACAGGTCTAAGGCAGTCCCTTTGGTTACGTGTAAATAAGGGGCAGGGCTTCTTCAGTGTTGTGGTTTAGACTTGTGGTCTTTCTGAGAAGATTCATAAAGGATATAGTCACCCTTCTTGGTTCAAATGTGGCTCTGCAATAAATGCCTAATTGCGTGAAGCTCTATCTGATAAGTGGTTAATAACTGAAAATGAACTACATTTATTAGTCATATTGCAAATGAACTCCTCCTGGCTAGACTGACTGTAAGGCTGATCTCTTGTAACGCGACCTTGATGAGGCTCCATATCCTAAAGCTATTATTCAGAAGTGCGTAGCACTAAGTGGATGCCGTATCCAGCCTTGTGGGTACACCCATTGGAGCTCCCTGTCCCCTGTGGGTGCTGAGGCCTCTTTTGTGTTCGCCTCCTGTGTGCAGGTGGAGCACTGGAGGTGTCCCCCAGCTCTCTCCTGAGGGCTCTGTTTGGGCGTGCCATCTCTGCTGCTGCTCTGTCCCAAAAGCTCCAAAAATATCTTTGTAGAGATTAGGAGCAGCTAAACTGCCTTTCTTCTTCCCCGAGCCCCTGTGATGTGGGGTGCAGAGGGAATCTGGAGCTGGAGGGAGAGGTCCTGGCTATGCTGTGCTGTGAGGGGAGCCTTTGAGCAGCCTGTCATTGCCTTCAGGAGCACAGGGATAACTTGGGGCTGGGTGAGAGCTGTTCTGAAATGACCTGGGGAAATGGCAGTGCTGGAAAGCTCCTGAACTCCTCCTGGAAGGGATGGTTGCTTCTTTCTGTTCTTGTTTTTTGTATCTGATTTGAAGAGGGCCTTTGTGACTGGCAGAACAAGGAGGGAGGTTCTCCACTGTTATTGTATGACTGAAGCATTAAGGCATTTCTAATTACAACTTCCAACACTTGCTCTTTGCTGTGCTGCAGGTTCCTGATCTTCTTTGATGATGGCTATGCTTCGTACGTCAAGGAGTGGGAGCTGTACCCAATCTGCAGGCCACGTGAGTGATCTCTGCCCCTCCTTTGTCCTAACGTTGAAATTATTTGGAGTGGCTTTGGGTATAAGACAGAGCTTGACTCCAGTGGTGGTTATGAATGACCCCTTTTAGCGCTATGCCTGCAAAGCAAATCTTTACATATGAAGCTGGAGGAAATAGGGGCTTATTACGTGCAGAGTGAATGTGCTGTGGCTCCTTGTACTCCAGATGCATTAAGGTGGCTGTACTGACGTCCTGCTACTCAACCAGTGCAGGCTTTAGGAGGTCAAACTAAGCAGTGATGCTCCTTCCTTCTGACCCCAGTTTAGGAGTGTAGAAAGGCCAGGGTTTCTGAGCTTTAGATCCCAGTGCATGCATGGATTGCCCTAGGAGCCTTGGATGTGAGTGTGTCAAGTGGCAGGCAGAGGTGATCAAAGATGAGAATGAATTTCAGTGGGATTGGTACTGCATTAACAGGATGTGGTTCTGTAATGCTTCCTGGGCATGTGATATGTTTGGAGCCTGTTGCTCCTAGTTGATTGATTGCTCTTATGAAAAAATCCATGAGAGATCTCTTTAAAAAAGAGTCAATGATGTTCTTTGTTTAAAAAAACAACAACAACAACGACAGTCTTCCCTTTCTCCCCTCTATGCCTTTCTGAACAGTTAAGAAGACTTGGGAAGATATAGAGGATGTGTCCTGTCGCGATTTCATTGAGGAGTACATCACAGCCTACCCCAACCGTCCCATGGTGCTGCTGAAGAATGGCCAGCTGATCAAAACGGAGTGGGAAGGGACCTGGTGGAAATCCAGAGTGGAAGAAGTGGATGGCAGTCTGGTCAAAATCCTCTTCCTGGTATGGCAGCTTTCCCTCTCCCATTAGAGGGAGAAGGAAAATTCAATTATGGGGACTGAGGGCTTGTTACTTCCCTTGCTGGTTGGGCTGGCCAAATTCAGTTTCCTTGCTAATGCCAGACAGAAACTTGGAGTAAGCAGGTGTTTTGCTTACTGTGCGTTGACATGAAGGTGAGACTCTTCCATTTGCATGAAAAAGCTTCAAAAGACCTTTAAAGCATGTGTAAAGCCTGAAAGCGCAGGAGCAAAAACTGTAAGTAATAGACGAACAAGAAACAAAATCCATCTTCTGCAGGTGATTCTGTCCTGATTCCTTTCTTGCTGTGACGCCTCCTAGCAATCTCTTCCGTCCAGGTACAAATACTGATGAGAAAAGCTGAGCAGAAGCTGCTGATACTCTGCTTGCTCAAATTCTGTAGATTGCAGAAAGGGAACAGACTCATTCACTATCTGTCCCCACTTGGCTCCCTTCCTGTCTAGATAACTGCACAGCCGCTGGGGTTGAGGAAGATGTTGTACATTTGCAAGCTTCACCTCAGTGTCCTCGAGTAGATACTGTTTGTGCAGAGCAGTTGTGTCCCAAGAGAGCCTGATTTCTCCGACAGTGTCTTGTTAGTTGTTGTGCAGAGAACAGAAGTGGATTTAAAGTTTGCGGTCTTGGTATGGGGCCTCTTTCTAGCCTGCAGATTGAGCTGAGCTTGTATTTTGTGTTCCCCTGGGTATATTGAATTACTTACTGCCTCTATCCTCCCTTGGCTCTATGGTCTTACATGAGCCTTCAGGAGAATGCTTTGCCCTCTCTCCATTTAGTTCTGCCTACTGTAAAAGCATCATTGCTGTCTCCTAGTCCCATGCTATGCCTCTAGCAAGCTTTGGCCATAGGTGCTGTGAGCGTTGCGTTCTTCTCTCTGCTGCAGGATGACAAACGCTGTGAGTGGATTTACCGGGGTTCTACACGCCTCGAGCCCATGTTCAGCATGAAAACCTCCACAGCCTCCACCCAAGAAAAGAAGCAAAGTGGACAAGCGAGGACTCGTCCTAATGTCGGTATGTGACATCTTTCTTTTTAATGTGTGTTCTGGGACTCAAATACTTTTGCTCAAGGGAAAAAAAAAAAAAAAACTTGCAGAGATCTAAGATGTGCAGTGACCTTGAGCAACTGGTGTAAATGTGATGCAGCAAAACTAGACTGCAGTTGTGTGTCTCACTGTTTGGTGAGACTGGCTGTGATTCGGAGCTCAGCCGATGGCCTAGTTTTATTTCTGAGGGCCTCGGATTTGGTTACCTTCAGGGACTGAACCAATGTTTTGTGGCTGGTGCAACAAACATTGATTGATGCAGAGACTTTTCTTGTTGATGCTCTGTGTGGATATTTCTTTTTTTTTTTTTCTTGCCATTCCCCACTAGGTGCTGTCAGAAGCAAAGGGCCTGTAGTACAATATACGCAAGATTTAACAGGAGCTGGTACTCAGTACAAACCTCTAGAGCAAATGCAAGCAGCCTCGCTGGCTGCACGGTCCGTTTCTCCACAACCTGCTGAGATGGAGTAAGTACTTCAGTCAGTTCTCTGCTTGCACCGTTAACTCCTTTGCGTTTCATCTTCAGCGCTCAGCTTTTTCAGTCTCCACCCTTTCCATGTAGAGGAATCCTCAGGTACAGGTTTCCTCCATGACTAGGCTTGTTTCCTGGTTACACAAATAGTTTTTAGTCGTGCTTCTGTGGGAAACTGTAGATAAAGGCTGCTGGATGAGTAACTGGGGTGGGAGAGCTGACGACCCAGCTCCCCTTGAGCCAGATGCCCTGTCCTTACCTAGGGCTAAAGCTTAGTGTATTTCCAAGTTAGACAGTTTGCTGCTTCTCTTCTGAAAATCTGAATTGCTCCCTCGTGTCACGATCCAGGCACTGGCCCCCGGCTGCCTTGCATTCCTCCGTTTGGACTGACCTGCTCGTGGACCTCAATGACTTACAAGGCCCTCAGAACTCAGGATCAGTGGTTGGTCTTGATGGTCACGGACCAAACCTGATAAAGCTAAGCTACAGCCAAGTCGCACACGTGCCTCCAGCCGCCGGGGGCCCAAGTGAGATGCTCTCGGAGGTGCGGGCTATTGCCGAAGGAGGCCTGGATGAGAGAGGAATTCAGCCTTGGGATGAAGAGAGCATGTTCGAGAACACCGGGGTACCTGAGCATGTGCTCTGGGACTTTAATAACTTCCTAGGGGAAAGAGATGCTGACTTGGTTCATTTTTGTCACCAGTGTGGATTTCCCATCCGAATTTATGGTCGTCTGGTTCCCTGCCAGCATGTCTTCTGCTGTGACTGTGCCTTGCTGCATGGGCAAAAGGGAGAAAGGAGGTGTCCAAGCTGTGATGAACCTGTGCAGCGAGTGAAGCTTTATTCACCAGATTCCCTCTAGGTGTAGCAGGATGTGAGAAAGCTCCTCCACCCCTAGCCTCCATTCTTGGGAGTGGGTTCTCCAAGCAGCAGTGCAATATGATCCCTTCTGCCCCAGAACGTGGGAGCCAAGTAGGAAATGTTCCTCCTGTGCCATTCTGACCAAGACTGGAGAATCAAAGCTGTAGCCTTATTCCTTGTTTCCTTTGTAGCCAAGAAGAGGGCTGATGCTGAAGGAGGTCTGTTCCAGTGTGAGAAATGGACTCCTCCTCCAGTGTGAGAAATGGCAAATGGCTCCTCCACCGTCAGTCTAGGGTCCCATCTGTGAACAGAGGAAGAGCTGGGGCTGTCTCTTTAACGCTAGGGCATCCTGAGCTGTTGCGGGCGTAGGAAGGATGTGCAATAGTACAGCACGTGGACAATAAAGTCGGACTGCCGTGGTCTGCCAGTCTGCAGTCTCACTGCTGCCTTATCTCTCCTTTTCCATTTAACAGTCTTTGTAGCAGTTATAAGAAACACTTTCCCCATCCCCCTTACCCTCCACTGTGGCTTTGACTGTAGGATCCTGCTGTCAGATCAAATATAAGCAGACAGAGCTCGAACTGCAGCCATTTCCCTGCCTTGCTATTAAGTAACAAACTGCTTAAAGACAGCTGTTTTTAACATTGACTGAAGGCAGTGTACTATATCCGTGTTGCTGCTGTCCCAAGGAATACTGTTCGGTTAAAAATACGTTGTTTTTAGGTAATTAAAACTTGAGAGAATGGTTTCTTCACTGCAGTGTTTTGTTTACTCTGAGGAAGGCCTGGTTCTCTTCTCTCTCTCGTCTTTCACCTCCAGGTTCTTATATGGTGCCAGGGACTGCTCGCAGCCGTTTCTGACTGTTTAAAGCCTGTTGACAGAAGCATTTTTCTCTTGCTCTTGAATGTGTGAGATGTATTTTTAATGCCTTGCTTTGAAGGCAGACATGTGCAGAAAGTATTGTTCCCCCCCTCCCCCCTGCTCTCCCTGCCTCTTCTCTTTCTGCCCTGAAAAAACAGTGTCACTCCACTTGTTTGAAAACCAGTGGCTGGTGTGGGATGTTTTCTGTTTAATCTGTGTAAATGGTCTGAAAACCTCTGCCACTGTTTTCTTGGAGCGTGAGGACTACTGCCCTCCAAGCGCCTCCTGCCTTCCCGATGTTGTGTATCGGGCTGCAGAGGGTGTTGGGAGCCCCTCGTAGCCCTCATTTTGTCAGTGATGTTGTTATGTTCCCTTCTATAATCTTATCTTGTAACTTGGTATGGACAAGAGAGTCCTCTATATTCCTTATTCCTCCCACTGGTCTGTACTGTAGCACTGACTGACTCTGTAAGCTCTTGTTTCTGCCACTTCAGGGGTCTCTTCGTGTCCTGCTTTCGTCCAGCTTCCTGAAGCGAAGGCCTCAGATGTCCTTGCTGTTCCCCCTCTCACCTGGCTATGGCTAACCTTTAAATAAATAGCGCTATGTCAGGAGTCACTTTTAAATGTAGCTGTGTCCTGGCATTTGTTTGGGACTGCTGCGGGGTTACTATAGCAGGAGCAGTCAGAGATGAGCTGATTTTCACTGTTCTCAGGAAAGATCTACTTGGTTTCTCTTGGTGTCTTGGATGGAGGACTGCTGCTAACTTTCATGGGGGAGGGTTGTTTTGGCTGCCTCTGCCTGTCCCAATCCTACCAGTTGTGTGAGTGTGTACGTCTTGTGAATCACCTCCCTGCTTCTTCCCTTGCGCAGAGGCTCCGACAGCCAGCTGGCCCAGTCTAGAAAGCAAGTGGCCAAGAAGAGCACTTCCTTCCGTCCTGGCTCCGTGGGCTCTGGGCAGTCCTCGCCTGCTTCGCCTGTCCTAAGCGATACGCCGCCTGCGGGAAGGACTGGCACATCCCAGCAGCATCGGTAAGCAAAGTCTTGGCTAGTTCATTCTTCATGCAAAAGCAGCAAAGTCCCTGGGTCCTTGTGAGGGCTAGCAGTGCTAATACAGATTTGAGGCTCAGTTGTTTTAGTGCAGGTCTGCTTCGTTACAGGCTGAACACCTTTTATTTGCCAGCTTGTCCACTCCAGAGCATTTGTCCTTCTCTTACCTTGTTCTCCCTCCCAAAGAGCGGTTATGTTTTGTTGTTGGCTTGAGCTTGAAGGGTCTCTTATCAGTTCTTAACAGTGCTTAGCCCAGTGGAGTCCTCACCAGAGCCTCTGAACCTGCTTGTTTCTACATGACTCCTGTTTCCATGAGCTCTCTGGGGCTGTGGGGAAGCTGGTAATAATGTAAATCTGCAGGTGGCTTTTCCACAGGGGTGGTATTTGTGGCAAGCAATCCCCAACACAGAAGCCGTTGATCCTTCTTCTGAGACCACAACCAATTTGCTTCTGCTTCCTTAGCTGTGGTTTTATTGGTCTTCTGCTGCTGGTAACACCCCTTTTGGGACTGCTTTGCCCTGTTTCCAGGAGGATGCAGGGGCTTATGTCAAATTGGACTAAGCAGCAAACCCAGCAAGGTGTCTCAGTGTGTATCTAGCAGCAGCTTTCATAGGAATTTGGTGCCTAAATCCCTTGGAAGATCCAGGCGAAAGCACTGCTCTTCCCTAAGCTAAGGAGGCTTGGGGTATCTCTCTTCCTGTACCAGGTTGTCCAGTGGCCAGGCGGGCACAGGCACAGCACAAGCCTTCCACGGCATGATGGACCGTGTCCCCAACGAGCCCTCGTACCGAGCCCCGCTGGAGAAGCTCTTCTATCTGCCGCATGTCTGCAGCTACACCTGCTTGTCCCGTGTCCGCCCCATCCGCAGCGATCAGTACCGCAGCAAGAACCCCCTGCTCATCCCACTGCTCTATGACTTCCGACGGATGACAGCCCGCCGACGGGTTAACCGCAAGATGGGCTTCCATGTCATCTACAAGACACCATGCGGGCTGTGCCTGCGAACCATGCAGGAGATTGAACGCTACCTTTTTGAGACAGACTGCGACTTCCTTTTCCTGGAAATGTTCTGCCTGGACCCCTACGTGCTGGTGGATCGCAAGTTCCAGCCCTACAAACCCTACTACTACATCGCGGACATTACCAAGGGCAGGGAGGACGTTCCCCTGTCCTGCGTCAATGAGATCGATAACACCCCGCCTCCGCAGGTGGCCTACAGCAAAGAGCGCATCCCAGGCAAAGGGGTTTACATCAACACCAGCTGGGAGTTCCTCGTGGGCTGCGACTGTAAAGACGGCTGCAGAGACAAGTAGGTGACGCCTTGCGTGCTGCAGTGTCTGTACTGCCTGCCCTGATAACAACCTTTGTCTGACTCAGCTGAACAAACTCTGTGGTATTTGGTGAGGAGATCAGGTAAATCCTTACTTGATGCTTTCAGCCTCCCAGTAAGCCATAGTGCTGTGTGGTGACTATCAGTACTATTCCTCCAGCCATCATGGCAAAGCTGGGCCCTCACTGTCTTGTATTTGTCCAGTCTTTTTAATTTTTCTCCTCTCTTCATGCTTTTGGTTTTCACTGTGCCCTACAGCAGCTAGTTCTGCTGTTTTAAACCTGTGTTGTGCAAAAGCTCTTCCTTGCGGGTGGTCCAAGACTTGCTCTACTTTGTGCCCACGCAGCCCTAGTGGGTCGTAGGTTTGACTCTGGGTTGAGTCCTGTGTGCCTGTCTTTCCTCATATATGCATGCAGAAAAATGTGACTTTTTTCCTTCCTGCAACACGGGTGTGTAAAACTAACCTTTGGGCATGGGTGGGTTTTTCTGTCTCTAGATCAAAGTGTGCTTGTCACCAGCTGACGGTCCAGGCGACTGGCTGCACCCCAGGTGGGCAGATCAACCCCAATTCAGGGTACCAGCACAAAAGGCTGGAAGAATGCCTCCCAACAGGGTGAGTAAAGCTGTGCTGTCTCCTTCTCTTGCGAATATCAGCCCCAGAAAGTTGGCCTTCGATGCTTTCGGGCAGTATTTCCTAAGAGCTAAATGCAGATTCTAGAAAACTTGCTTCTATTCTCGATTCATCTGCTAATTCATGACCCAGGCTCTCTATCCATTACTGTACTATCCAGCAGCTACGCTGACTCTTTGCCTATTCTGCTGAGCTTTAAGCCAGTGCTGTTGCTGAGCTCTCGGCCTGCTGCAGGTCCCTCTGCAGCATTACTGGCACAACACCGAATCTTGAGATGTGGCTTTTCTTAAGGGAAGATAATTCAGGTCCCAGAGAGAGATGTCACTGTTCTCCCTTTTTCAGAGTTTACGAGTGTAACAAGAGGTGCAAGTGCAACATTAACATGTGCACCAATCGCTTGGTCCAACATGGGCTCCAAGTTCGGCTGCAGTTATTCAAGACGCAAAACAAAGGCTGGGGCATTCGCTGCCTTGATGATATTGCCAAAGGCTCTTTTGTCTGCATCTATGCAGGTAGGATCTTACGCTGCTGAACAAGTAGGTGGAAACCTCTTAGTTTTAAAACAGGTAAACAGGTGCTGTGCATGAAAAGTCTTTGCTGAGCCAGTGCCCTTCTTGGCGGTCACATGTATTCATCTATGAAACTGGTTTCTTTTGCTTAAGTAGGGGTATGGGGGAATAAGGATCGAAAAGACCTGGTTGTGTCAAGTCTGAGTGAGGCCTGAGACCTCGGCTTTGTTTATCGCAAAATGCAAACCCAGCAGAATGGGTGTGAAGCTCTTCCTGTGCATGTTAAAGGGACAGGAGAGTGAAAACCTAACTGCTGAACTTGCAGCACTGCGATTTCCTGCCTGATGCCCCTTACCCAGCTCTTAAACGAGATGCTGCAGAAACCTGTGAGGCTGCAGTGCCAGTGTCGAGAGAAGTGCTCACATCCCCAGAGCTGTTTTTGCACAGTTAGAGTGAATCAACAGATACCTGCTTCCTGTTTATACCAAACCAGTCCCTGGGACATCCACGCAGGCCAATAAAATGCAGAAGTTGTACCGCATGGTTGCGTTAACTCTGAAAAGGAACTAACCGTGGGCATCGTCTGAGTTCTTGCACTTTGGTTTCTTACCCTTAACATTGCCTCTATGCTACACCCTAACCTCCAGCCAAAAGCTTTCAGAGGAAAAGGCAATCGCCCTGTTTGAATTGCCGTTTAGAGACTTCCTTCTTGAAAGCCTGGATGTTAAAGGGGCCTGCTGTAGATCAGCCACATGCTTGAGATTGTCATCACTTTGAGTGGGGGAGTAACATGTTGCCCTAAAGCTGGGCTGGAAAAGGATAAGATGGTGTCAGCCCTGTTTGCGCCTCCCTGAGCCTTTGGGGAAGATAAAATTTGTGTGGGGCAGGAATGTCATCGCAGGAAAACTCACAGCTTGTTTCCCCTCCCAGGGAAAATCCTCACTGATGACTTTGCTGACAAAGAGGGGTTAGAGATGGGCGATGAATACTTTGCGAACCTGGATCACATTGAGAGCGTGGAGAACTTCAAGGAGGGCTATGAGAGCGATGCAAAGTGCTCTTCTGACAGCAGTGGGGTGGACCTCAAGGATGAAGAGGAGGAGAACACAGGCACTGAGGAGCAGGAGGAGTCCAATGAGGACAGCTCCGATGACAATTTCTGCAAGGATGAGGACTTCAGCACCAGCTCGGTGTGGCGCAGCTACGCCACGCGACGGCAGACCCGGGGCCAGAAGGAGAATGGGCTGTCGGAGACAGCCTCCAAGGACTCTGGGCTCACCCGGCAAATCAGCCACGATGAGACAACGGTGGCTGCCTCCTGTAAGCTGCCAGTGTCTGAGGAAACCTCCAAGAACAAAGTGGCCTCGTGGCTGAGCTCCAACAGCATGGCTGACAGCTTCCAGGACAACGACAGTGCCTCCTCCTTCAAGATGAGTGAAGGTGGTGAAGCCAAGGCCTGCAAAACAGAACTGCCTGGTGAGAGAGAGAAAGCCTCCACTTCTGGCCTGGGTGACGTGGATGGAGAGTCAAAGGTGTCGAAGAAAGATGTAAGGGAGAGCTGTGGGGCTGGGATATGAGCATTGCCCCCTGCCTTTATGGATGGGGGAACTGAGGCACAGATACATGCCTTAGCTGTGCTCTTGCTCAAATCCCTGCTCTATCTGTACAGCTTGACTAAGTCAAACTGTGGTGCTGTTTGGTGTCTGTCCCCCTGCCCTGCTTATGTGACCTTTGCCGCTGTGGTACTTGTGGGGTAGGGAGAGGCCTTTCCTCTTCCTGGGGAAAGTGGTGGCACAAAGCATTCACCTACGTGCCCTGGGGCACTATGTGCCTGCGCAGAGGGTGCGCAGCCCTGAGGGAGGGAGCCATCTGCAGTCTGGCTAGGTACCTGAGGTGGGGTGGGGAGCAAAGGATGGCATCCAGACAGGGTTGGGGACAGTGGGGAGGTTGTCCCTGCCTGTTACATTCTGGAGAAGGGACTCAGAGACCCAGCGTGTGGGTGGGAATGGTGAGTTTGGGTGCACCAAACTGAGAGATGGGGACAGCCTGCTTCTCTCACCCAGGCTGGTATTTTGGGAGAGTTTCCACAGCAGGGCTGAAGGATGCTTCAAAAGGGAGAGATTTTAATCTGCAATTCTCCCCTCTGCAGGACCCTGAAGACCCAAACAAACTTCCCGGGTAAGGTTCCTTAAATTGTACTTTCCTGCCTTTTATTTACACATTTGCCTTGTTATTGTCCATTTGTCTGTGGACAGATCCACTAGGATACGCGAGTGTGACCTGTTCTTGTTTTTACCCCACAGGCTAAGTGACTTGGGAAGGATGTATGGCTACAATCCGAGCCCACCCAAACTGGAAGGGATCCGGAGGCCGACGAGCAAAACTGCCCTGCTCCAGAGCAGACGGCACTCTGTCCCCCTGCAGCCCTCCACGGATGTAAGAACTGATCGTTTGGGCTTCAGGCAGGGGTCGGAGGGGGTGGGCCGGGCTCTGCCTTATGGCCCAAAACTGGTTTGATGAAGGCCTCAAACCTTCCTTCACGTGCTTTGTGTGCCACTTTCATGCTCAGCAGGGCTGGCAGTTTGCAATTGCTATTTCCTGGGGAATTGTAAGTTTCTTTAGACAGCGAGGATCCTAGTTGGTTCTGAAAGCCCAAGGAATGGGGCAGTTTGGTTTCAACTGGGAAAAGGGGAGCCTTGAACATTGCTTGGAGAGCGATGGAAGGAGGCTCCTGCTGTGCTCAGGAGCTGTTAATGCCTTTCTGCAGGACGTGCTGACCCTGTCGAGCAGCACAGACAGCGAGGGGGAGAATGGGCAGGCAGCAGGAGGGCAGGCCCCAGGCACCACCAATGACAGTGATGACATCCAGACCATTTCTTCGGGCTCTGAGGAGGAGGAAGTGGATGACAAGAAAAACCCCTCATCTGGCTCAGGTGAGGACAGCTGCAGTTTGCTGGGGGAGGAACTGAGGCTGAGAACAGAAAGTGCAAAGTTACAGCAGAGAAATTGGTCAGAAACCACCAGGAAGGGCTAACAAGGAGCTGCCCATGGTTGCAGGGCACAGCTGTGAGTACTGCATATCCTGCTCCAAACGCCTCTGAGCTGAAGTCTAACAGCTGAGGCCTCAAGTTTCCCCAGGTCCTGTTTGAGACTTAACTTTGCAAAGCCAGGCCTCAAGCACTAGTTAATTGCAAATATGTAGGAAAGAGCAATCATTTGAGGCTGGTTGGGTGGGTTTCCAGGCGCTGCTGCGTAGAATGGAGACCTGGGAGGATTCCCAGGGACCATCCCAGTGTGGTATCTTAGATCTGAGCTAGGATCAGTGTCCGTAAGGGTTTCATTTTGTGTGAAAGGGGCTGATGTCTTGGAGTCTTGCAATAGTGCTGCTTGCCCTTTGAGAGAAGGAAAGGGAAGGCAGCAGCGTTTGCTCCTCTGTCGTGGCAGGTCCCGTTAAGAGGCAGGTGGCGGTGAAATCCACCAGAGGCTTTGCCCTGAAATCAACTCACGGGATCGCCATCAAGTCGACTAACATGGCAGCAGCCGACAAGGGTGAGAGTGCTCCTGTCCGCAGGACCACTCGCCAGTTCTACGATGGAGAGGAGTCCTGTTACATCATTGATGCCAAACTGGAGGGGAACCTGGGCCGGTACCTTAACGTGAGTCACTGCCCTCGGCAGCTGGCATGCTACACTCAGGGTGCAGTGTTGGTTAGGAGCTGATCTCTCTGCCACTAGGGAGACCTCCTTGGAAGAGCACAAGTGGCTGTTTGCTGCTATCTAGGCAAGATTTTGGACATAATATTTATCCCTGCTGCCTGCTCTCATGTCTGCAGTTCACTTCTTTACTCAGATGAATTGTGAATCGCAGGCAAACCTGTCTGTCTGTACCTTGCTTCGAGGCAGGGAATAGAAGCCCTGGAAATAGGGGAAGAAAGGGGAATCTTTTAGTATTCTTGGCAGCTGGGGAGGGAAAGGGACACCTTTGGGGTGATTCTGCTGCCTTGGGATGGGGTGACCTGCCCTTTGGGAAGGCCTTTTCCTCCCCAAGTCTGGATAAGCACTGGGAAGAGCTGGATTAGGCAGGAAGATTTCCCCTCACAAGAAGAGAAATGGGGGGGCTGTTCCAGCTCCATGTCACGTGGTAAGCAGGATGGACAAGTCAGTCCTTCCAGTGACCGTTACCTTTGCTAGCATGCATCTCGTGACTCATCCCTGGTCACGCAGGGCACAGGCAGGGGAGGGAGGGAGCGGCTCCTGTTTCAGCAGGCTTATGCTGGATGCAGCGGTCGAATCAGGAATGCTGTTGTTTAAAAAGGCTCATGTTCACTGCCAGCTGATTTGTGTCCCTCCCGACGCAGGAACTTGCTCACTGCTTTTCTCTCTGGTATCTTTGCAGCATAGCTGCAGTCCAAACCTCTTCGTGCAGAACGTTTTTGTGGACACACATGACCTCCGTTTCCCTTGGGTCGCCTTCTTTGCTAGCAAGTGAGTCACAGAGTGCTTGGGCCAGGGCAAGGGTGCGTGGGTGGGTGGCTGCCCCCCCCGCCCAAAGTTCGTGGGGGCTTGGCTGGGCCTGGCTCCTTGGCAGGAGCTGTGTGACTATGTGGCTGTTTCCCACTTCTGGTAACTGCTGCCCAGTTTCATACTGGCCCAAGCAGGGAGAAGAGGTTTGGAGGTAAGTTTGGGCAAAGACATCTCTACCTGTGAGATGTCTGGTGTGATTTGCATCAGTTTCATGCCTTTCTAAAGCTGGGAGAAATAAGCACAGAGCAGGTGGCTGTCTGCATTGTTTGAATCGCAAACAGCGGAAGCGTGAGCATCTACCTTGCAGGCAGCTCCTGGTAGTGATGGATCCCTGCTGTGTACCTCTGGGGGGGGGTGCTGAGAGTACAGTGTTGTGGCTTCGCAGAGGCATAGCAGTGATTCAGTGGGGAACTTTGTCCCTTGCTCGCTGCAGAGCCAAACACACACCTGCTCTGGCTGCTTCACCCTTGCCCTGAGGGAAGCTGGACTGCGCTATCCTGTCCAGACCTGCCCACGTGCCTGTATGTAAGCACTGCTCTTTGCTAGCAGGGGCTTAGCCTTTTTCTGGAACAATCTCTTCTCCCAGTCTATGCAGGACTGGCTTTGCAAGACGCTTGCCTGCTTGTTCTTTCTTCCCAGGAGGATACGAGCCGGCACGGAGCTGACGTGGGATTACAACTATGAAGTGGGCAGTGTGGAAGGCAAAGAGCTGCTGTGCTGCTGCGGGGCTATCGAGTGCCGAGGGCGGCTGCTGTGAGCCCAGCAGCACTTCCCAAATGCTTCGGGGTGGGGGAGCCTCAATCCCTCTGGAGCGCAGGCCTCATCCTGGCTTACCCTCTGCCCCATGTGTGACACTTTGTGAGGGTAAAGTACTGTATAGCATCTAAGGAGAGGGTGTTTAATAGTAACTGTTACAAAGCGGAGCATGATGGCTTTGAGTTTTCCTGTTCACTTGAAAATGATGGCAGCAGATGGACAAGGACCAGAGGCTTAACCCCGGCCTGATGCATGTGTGTGCAACAGCTGCAGAGGGCAGGTGACAGCCAAACCAGTTATCTGCAGACTGAGCTTTGCTTTTACTGTGCCTGGGGGCTGCAGCAGATCTGCCACAGGATGCTTTGTCTCTTGTTAGTGCAGGAAAGGACATAAGCCAAGCCGTTACTAGCGGTGGTGAACTAGCTGACATGCAGCTATTCCTGCTCTCCTCAAGCTCTCTACTAAATTTAAGACACAAACCTCTGAGCAGCTACTGTTAGTGCTGGCTTGCTGCCTATAAAGGTAATTCCAGGGGGAAACAGTTCACAGAGCCTCCAGGAACACATTTCACTTTTGGGACTGGGCAGTTGCTGACCCAATGGCCTTGGGAACAGCCTGGGAGGGAATGAGGACAGTGGAAGTAAGCCCAGCATGGACTAATCTGGCTTTAGAGCAAGGACCTGTGACTTTAGGTGGAAAAAAAATATATCTTTCTCCAACCCTGAGATAGTAGAAAGAATCTTTTCACTGTTAAAAAGCAATAAAGGTTTTTTTTGTTTTTCTTTTTTGTTTTTTTTTCTTTAAAAACTGTCTTAAAACCCAGCTTTTTCTGCCACAATCAGCTGCCTGCCCTCTGAGCTGAAAGCAAGACTGTATCAGTAAAGAGTAACCTTGCCCCCATTCAACCTTACTGTCCCCAGGGCCTGGCCTGGCCTGGCAGATAAAGGCAGCTACTGCTGTGAGCTCTGACCTGGCTGGCCTGACTGACATGTCTGAGATAGTCTTACAGCAAAACACCCTGAAAGAGCAGCTTTTAACCTCTTCCATCACCCTTGTTTCAAGTGGGCTTGCAGGAAAACTGTCCTTGGGAGGCAGATCAGCCCAGGCATGGTAAGATGTGCACAGTCACAAGCTGGGGGGAGGGGGGGCAGAAAGCTCCCACAGTCTTTTTCACCTTCCTTATAGCAAAACAAATATTCATTAAATCTTCAACTTGTTGAAAATAAAGCAAAGTTAAACTTATCTCATTAAGGCAATCAACATCAACTCTGCTCCAGCTCCTACCTTTCTGGGATACACTCCTAAAGCAAGACATACCCCCCCCACCACCCTTTTGCTCAAAATGTGCCACAGGGAAGGGGAAGTTAGGCACAGCTTCCAACAGGAATCATTCAAGTCAAACTCTAATCCAGGAAGCAACAGGGATGAAAGGGCAGAGACTGGCACAGGGCCTGCACTGGCAGCTGGGGAGGATGGTGCAGCCTCCTTCCAGCCTGGCCCAGCTGCTGGCCATGGCACAAACCAAACAGCAGCTCCACAAGTAAAACTTGCTTTTTCTAGCAGGTGTGTTTTTTTTTTTTTTTAAAGGGCTTGTTACTGCAAGTCCAAAAGCTTAAACAAGTCAGAGTGAATGCTGGCTGAAAGGTGGATTTTTAACAAAGTGGCCTCGATTCCCGCATCAGTCCCCTGGTTGAACTGCAAAAACCCTGGCATGGAAAAGCTATGAAGCAGCAAAACTGAGCAGTGGGGAGGGTCACCACAAGCCATGAGCGTAACAGAGGGGCTCCAGCCACCTTCCCCATCCCTGAGGTACCAAAGTGGCTCTGGGCAGCACCTGGCCAGTGCCACTGTGGGCTCATGCAGGTGCCCTCCCAACAAGCGAGGCTTTTTTTTTTTTTTAAAAGAGCTAAAAACAACTTTTTCTCTTTTTTTTTTTTTTTTTTTTTTTTTTTTTTTTTCCCTTTTTACCTTTCTGGGGCCTCTTTGAGCGGTGATTCCCATCCTTACAGTCCACTTGAATAGCAGCTTTGTAATCCTAGAGGGCCGAGGAGGGCGGTCACTCCTTTTGCTGCTGGGCCAGCCTAGCCCCCGTGGCACTGGTTTAGGGACCCAGCAACACAATGCTTTCAAAAGAAGAACAAAGAGGTAAAAAGAGGCTGGCCCAGGTCTCTCCAGCCCAGCAGAGCCAGGTACTCACAAGCCCCACCAGCCCAAGCAGTTTCTAGCTCTGGCTTCCTCCAAAACCAATAGAAGATGTCCAAACCCATTTTTACCGAAGTTTATTAGTTTTTAACTTTTAATATATTTAACCTTTTCTTTAAAAAAAAAAAAACACACACATTTTGGTCTGACATTGGTTAATGGTCCTTTTCCCCCCACCCCTCTGTGCTGGGAGGTCTCGCTATGTCCAGCTTTGCCCTGCAGACGGGCGGATGCAGGAGGCATAGCCAGGCCCGGCTCCTTCTATCTTCCAAATAAATAGAAACAAAAATCAGTCATGAAGTTGTCCTGTTACAGCTGGGGAGGGGACCAGGTGAGGCCACAGAGAGGGACAGACTCAAGGCAATCGAAACCCATTTACAGAAGAGGAAATAAGAGGAAACAACTCCTCCCCGAGACATTAGTAGTGACTAAACCCTACAGCTTCCTTCCCCCCGAGTACTCCATAGTGTTGTCTAATATTTCAGCCACTAAAACACCCAGGACTACTTCATCTGCTCCCACCTCGTGGATCGCCGAGGGCACCGGAGCCCGGACTGCACCAGCCCATGTGTCCCCCGCTGGCGACTGTCCCTCCCCATCAAACTTCGATCCTCCCTCGGTAGATCCTGCTCCGTGCTGGCAGTGAAGCCAGACAGGGAAGGGGCTTTTCTGAACCCTTCTTGCACAGGGTTGGCACTGGGAAGAGGCAGGAAGGCCTGCTGTGGGAAGGGCTCCCCTCCAGCAAGGGGAAGGGGAGATAAACCAGGGCTCAAGCCCACCACAGGGCTAGAGCCGAGCTCTCTGCCACAGATAGGGGAAGGAGCTGTCCCAGAGGGGAGCCATCCCTGCTCTGCCTCCCCCGGGGTGTGCTGGCACCACAGCGGATTAAGGCAGTGGGTGAAAGACAGAAAGGGCACGAACGGTGAGCGTGATATGGAGAACCAGTGACCGCTGCTGTCCCCAAAGCCGTGGACCCCTTGGAGGGTACCAGGGAGGCGAGATGGGCTCTCCAGGGGTCCCGGCTTGCTCTGCTGGACCAGGGAGGAGAGATGAGGGAGGGCGCAGGGAGGGGATGGGGACCTTGGCGCTACATGACAGTGGCAGGGTGGGATTTGACATCTCACGGGTTTGGCCTCCTGCAGGCCCCCGGCCACCCCTGCCAGCTGGGGCCGGCTGAGCAGCCGTGGGGCGAGGGTGCTCAGTCGGTTTTGCGGTGGTTGTTGTTGAGGATGGGGTGGCCGTTGGAGAGGGGCCCGTTCTTTGCCGCCACCACCTCCTCCTCCTCCTCCGTGTCGTCTGTCTCTTCGCGGTCACTCCTCTCATCCTCCACCACCTGGGAGGGGATGGGAAAGGGGGTCTTGGTCAGCTAGGGCACCTCGTCTCTCTGCCATGCCTCAGTTTCCCCAATTCTCCATCCCAGTCACTCTCCATCAAGGATGCTCTGGGACTCGGGAAGCCAAACAGAGCTTTCTTGTCCCCTCGCTGTCTGCAAGCTACCATGCAGCCCCCAGTCTCCCACTAGGACCCTCCCCAAAAGAGCACGACCTGTCATGGCAGGCAGCAGCCCTCAGACAGGTCTGGATACAGCCCATCTGCCCCGCACCGGCAGCTTCCAGCAGGGCTGGGGCTGAGAAGCCAATGCAGAGGAGCCACGAGCCATCCCCAGACCCCCAACTTGCCTTTCCAGTTATGAACTTCTGGGCCATGCGGATGATGAGGTAGGCCCAGAAGATGTGCAGCGACTGCAGCACCACCATCATGAAGTTGAAGAAATAGTAGCCAAAGAAGGCAGGGTAGAGATCCAGCGGATAAACCACTGTGCAGTGCATAATCCTGCCAGGGACACAGGGAGAAAAAACTGTTATGGCAGGGACCAGCTTCCCACCCTGGCAGGTCCCCCCCACTGCCCCGTGCCTCTGCTTCCCCACTCGTTAACCAGAGCCAGTGCTCACCAGAAGGGCAGGATGACCAGGCGGGTGATGATGAATACGGCAGCAAAGACGATGAAGATGTTGTTACAGGTGTTCCTCCAGCCAGCGTAGTTGAACATCTTGGCCGACTGCGGGAGCACAAGGGTGTGAGCTGGGGAGGAGACACGGGCTGTGGCCACGGCCGTGCCCGGTGGGGAGGGGGATATACCTCCAGCAGGTAGTCGGAGGAGTCGTGCAGGGCCATGATGAGCGTCCCTGCGCGGATGTAGTTGGCAAACCAGGAGAAGCTGATGAGGATGATGGTGGCAACATGGTGGATGATTTGCTCTTTGAAGTCCTGTGCATGGGAAAGCAGGGGCATGAGGTTATGCCAGCCCTGCTCTGTCCCCCAGCAGCCTGCCTCGCCTCTTATCCTCAAGATTCCCCCCCTCCCTTTGTCCCCAAATCCTACTGGCCAGCCAATCCCCAACACCTGCAGGGCCTGGAAAAGCCTGCTAAGATGACCCTGTGTGCGCCACTCCCTGAAGCGGCCCATCCCGTCCCCAGAGCCCCGCAACCGCAGCCCACCTTGCGCTTGACGTCGGAGGCGATGCTGAAGAGCAGGGACCAGTAGAAGGAGAGCTCAATCATGTAGTACCAATACTGGGAGGGCAGCATGCTCTGAAAGCCAAGGGACAGGTTGGGGGCAACCTCTGGGCATCCCAGGGGGTTTGACCTTCCGCTCCTGGGTTCCAGGGACCCTCCTGCTCCCCAGGGGGGGTTCAATCCCCCTCCACAGGCATCAGCCAGATCCATGTTGGTGCCAGAGAACCCCGGTGCACCCCAAGGCAGGGGGGTTCAATCCCCCTCTGCAAGCATCAGCCAGACCCACGTGAGGGCCAGAGACCTCCTGGGCACTCCAGAGGGGTTCCATCCCCCTCCCTGGGTAACGACCAGAGCCAGCAGGTCCTGGGGACCCTCCTGCACCCGTGGGGGCTCTGATCCCCCTCCCCAAGCATCAGCCAGAGATGGGCAGCCCCTGGAGGCCGGAAGAGCTGTGGGATGGCAGCCAGGACAAGGTGCAGCGCTCACCTGGATGGGGTATCCCTTCCACACCTCCCGGAGGTCATAGAACCAGGGCTTCTGTGGGACAGAGAGAGACGGAGGGGTGTTAGCAGGGGCTGAAGGGGCCAGTGGGGCTGGGCGGCCGGGGGGCTGGTACTTACATCTACTATGACAGCCATGCCAGCAATGAAAGCAATAAGGTAAAACGTGAATCGCCAACTGGAAAAAGGAAGCAGATGGTTCTCAGATGGGCACCGGGGTGAGGGAGGGAAAAGGACGGAGCCCCCAGCCCCACGTTGCCCACTCCTGGGGTGGTTCCTGGCCAAGCCAGCGTCCCCACAGCCCCATCCACTGCCCGTGGTGCAGGGATCAACCCGTCCCAGGGACAGGGTGTATCCCCAGCGACTGGCACAGGAGACAGACAGATGGGCATGGGGTCTCACCTGGCCTCTCTGAACTTCTTCAGCAAGCTGGGTCGGTCCTGGTTGCGCCGGCGGCGAAACCAGCGCTCCACCTGCCGCACTGTGCAGCCGCTCTTCTTCGAGAGCATCTCCACATCGGTCCCTGCCGCCTGCCCTGCTCCGTCCTCCCTGAGCCCGTTTTAGGGATGCCCCTCACCTGCTTGGGGTGCTTGGTGGTGGCCACATAAAATTTCTCCAGCACAGCATTTGGGGTGGCTTTTAACCTGATCTTCTCCTTGACATTCAGCAGCCCAGCCAAAGGGGTGGCCACATACCTGGGGAAAGGGAAGGCACACATGAGATGTCTCCACTTCTGCATCACCCAGCCCTATCAAACAGGCACCAGGGTCAGTCTGGAGAAGCCACCCAGGGACCTACGGCTGCTCCATGCCTCAGTTCCCCCATCCCGCTGCCGCCTGGCCTCGTTGAAAGCAACTTCTCTAGTGTGGAATTTGCCATGGGGATGTCCCCAGGGTCCCTGCGCCACCCCAGGGCATGGGAACCACCTTTGGGACGGGGATTGAGTCCCCTCTGGTCCAGCGTAAAGGGGCAGGGCTGCATCCACCCCAGCGGAGGTGCCGCCCCCTTCTCCTGCCATCCCAACAAAGCCTTGTCTGTTCCTGGCCTCGGCTCACCATTGTTTGCCTAACAAATCGCTCCTTAAGCAGCGGGCCTCATGGCCAGCTGGGCTGTGATAAGGACAGCAAGGGTGACGGAGGATGCACAAAGCCACATTTGTGCAGGGCCACTGGGGGCTGATCCCCGGCCTGAAATCTGTGCTGAGGGTAAATCCCAGCTCAGTGTCGGCCCAGCCCCTGGGGGGGCCATGGGCAAGGGCTCACAGGCCTCCTGGGTTTGTTCTGCAGCAGGGAGAGGAGGGAAGGGTGGCATTTCCAGGGGCTTGATCCTGATCCCCAGGGCTGAGGTGCTGCAGCGTGTCCCCAACACCATGCCCGACTCTGGGGATGCAGGAACTGCTGGACTAGAGCCCCAGCGGATGCAGGGATGATGGCACCTGATCTCAAGGGGACGGATGGAGAGGAATCACTCACGTCTCGAAGAGGTGCCGGATGACGAGGAAGAGGAAGGCCAAGGGGAGGGTGATGTAGAGGTCGGAGGCTTTGGCGTAGACTCGCCCATCGCGGTCCTCCAGGTCAGCCCAGGTGAGGTTTGCCGGCAGCCAGAGCCGTTCCCACCAGAAGTAGCTGTACAAGGTCTGAAACATGCTGGGGCAGAAAGAGAGAGCCAGTGAGGCGGGCATCGGCCCTGGGGTCCCCCGGCCCCAAACCGCTCCCATCCCTCCCATCGTTTACCATGCTAATGAGTACCCTGGAGATGCGGGACCCACCCAGGTCCATGGGTCCAGGTGACCCCAAGCAGGTCGAACCTCGTGCCCAGCGCTCAACCTGCAGCTGCACTCGTCACCAGGATGGGCTGCATTTAGGGGCCGAAGGAGGGGAACTGACCACAGCTGGGGGAACCCCCGCTCGCCATGAAGTCCCCGGCTTCCCTATTGCGCAGGCACCACTCATACAGCAAAACTCCCCACCAGTCAGCACCAGGGGAAGGGCCTTGGCCCCAAAAGGAGAAGCGGCTCCCGGCAGTACCACGAAAAGGAACCCAGGTGTCTGGGGACCAGCTCGTGGCCCCGTTGCCTTCCCTACGGCCCTGCATCGAGCAGCCGTGAGCAGAGGACACGGTCCTCTCGCCTCATCCCCGAAAAGCAGGAAGACGCGATGTGCATGCCTCCTTTCTCCATGCCCCAGTCCAAGCTACCCTGCGCGGCTCTGCACTTCGCCCACCCTCCTTCAGAGTTGGCCTCGATCCCACCAGGTCAGCGCCAGCCTCATCCCTGGTGGAGGCAAGCGACCTGATGAGCCCCCAGCGCAGCCACCTGATGGGGACGCTCCGTGGGGCAACGAAATTCCCCCAGTGCTGTGTGGCCGCGGGTGCTTGGCACCGGCAAAGGGACTTTGCTCCCTGCAGCAGAGAGGTCAGCGGGTGATGATTAACTGAGGCCGGCTCCCTCTTCCAACCGGCGGGACAGATCCTGGCCGTGGGAAGCAACCAGCCTCCTGGCCTCTGAGATGTTCCCCTGCGCCCAAATCCAGGCCCCATCCCGCTTGCCTGGCAGCATCATGTCCTGCAGCATCATCACCGCAGCTAGGCCAGTGCCCTGGGGACAGAGGGACAGCAGGATGGATGCGTAAACCCACAGGCCCAGGGAAAAGCGCGGAGGGAGGAAGAGGAAGGGGCGAACCCCTCCCCACTTTGCCAGGCCATCCCTGAACTCACAGGACAACCCAGTCCCTGCGATTCGCTCAGCGCAAGCACCTGGTACTCCGGGCTGAGGTTTCCCTAGTGGAAAACGCCTTGCCAGCTTCATGAAGCAGCCCCGCCACTGCCTTCTCAGCTGTCTCCCAGTCCCAGCATGTTTCTCTCCCGACCGTCCCACAAGCGCCGCATTCACGTCCCAGATTCGATCCTAAGCCAGAGTTCCCTCAGGCTGAGGCCGTAACAACTCATGTCCCTTGTGGATCTGCCAACTCGCAATGAGACGTCCCTCCCCACCTCCGTCCCCTGGGGAAGATGCATCAGGCCCTGACCCCTCGGTGCCAGAGCAAGATCCTGCAATGCTGCAGGTGCCCCGGGGCTAGGGAAACTGAGGCACAGACCCTACATCCAGTCCTGTCCCGAATAACCAGGTGCTGGCTGCAAGCAGAGCATGGCCATGGCGAGGAGGGAGCTGGCAGCTCAAGGCTGCCGCGTGTCCGAGAGGCGCAGGATTAGGGATTTGCCGGTGGCACAAAGGGCACCTTTGTGCTTTAAAAAGAAAAGTCCTGGTGCCCCATGTCGTGGCCCAGGCGCGACAGCAGGCACAGGGAAGGGAAGGACACGCGGACGACCACCGCATGCAGGGAGGCGATCCCACCTCAGCGGCGCCTGGCCCCGTGTTTGACTGAGGGACACCCTGCCAGCGAACGCTCCTGTCGGCCGGAAAACCCTGGAGCGGGTCCTGGGCACGCTGGATCGCCACATCGGCAGCAGAGCGAGGCGCGGGGCGTCGTGGCCCCAAGGCGAGAGTGGAGAAACGGCTGCCCGGGGAGGAGGAAACGTTTCGCAAGGCAGCAAAGGCGGGAGCGTGCCGGCCCTGGAGCAATCCTGATTTAAATAGACGAGACCGCAGATAAGGGCTGTGCAGCAGCAATTACCACACTGGCGCTTAGATCCCGGGGGGCAGCACCTAACGGGTCGGGTGCTCTGCACCCGCAGGGACCAGGTGACAGGTGAGGTCAGGGCTTGCGACACCTTTTCCCTGTTGCGTCCCACCTCCCGGGAAAAGCCCGGGTACATTGCAGGCCCCACGGCGACAGAGAACACCCCGAAGCAGCCACAACCAGAGCTACAAGCCGTCAGTGGAGAATGTAACAGTCCCAAAGCTGCCGAGAGCAAAGCAAAGGCTGTTTTACATGCAAAAGCCCCCATGATCTGAGCCCGTTTCGAAGGTTAATCCTGTTGAAAAGCAAAAATCCCCCCAAACGTTTAGGTCAAAGCCACAAAGTGGCACCAGGAGCCTCTGCATGAGGTTGTGAAAATTGGCTCAGAGCATCTCCCGCAGCTGGGACACAGACAGCCCTGTCCCAGGTCACCCGGCCCCAAAACCCGCAGTCGGACTCCTGGGTTCACTGGAGCACGTCCCAGCTCAGCTGCCCCAAAAAGGACACTGGGAAGAGCCCCAAAATCCCTGCAAAGAGCCAGCGAGGATCATCGCCAGGCTGCAAAGAGACAACAGCATTTAAGGCTCCCGGAAGAGGTGAATAATTAACCGCAAGGGGCCACGCACAGACTTGAGCCGGGCTGAAGGTCCCGGGCAAGGAAATGCTTGTTAATATTTGGCGCTTTTTCCCCTGGCCCGGACCCCACGCAGTGCCTGCAGCCAGGCCACGGGGATGGGGAGGCGCCAGCATAGGGAAAAGGGGTTCATTCACCCTAAAATGCCCCGTGTGCCTGGGGGAAACTGAGGCAGGGGCGGCCACGTTGGGCCCCGCGTTTCCCTGGCTGGTGACGGAGCACGGGGCCCAGGGCCAGGAATTTCCTGGTGGAGGCGCGCCTGGCTCTCCTCGAGCATCCAGGGCTGGGAAAAGCCAGGGCAGCAGATGACCCCTCCGCGGTGATGGGGACAGGGATGTCCGGCCCCACCAACCTAGCAGCCCTTTAGGGATCAGAACCCCAAGCGCCCCCTGGGGGGGGGGGCAGGGC